GGGGGGTTTTTTGTTTTTTTTTTTTTTTTGGGGGGGGGGGGGGGGGGGGGGGGGGGAGGGTGTGAACCAAGCAGGAGAGGAGCACTTGTGGCATTAGCCCAGCCCTTATAACCAACGCGGGTTGAGGTGCACGCGTGAACAAACTCGGTTGAGGACATACGGGGAGAGGCCATTGGTACGGGACGGATAAACTTTCGCGGAATGCACCACGGAATCCCACCTCTTGTTCTACATCAAGACGGGGATGGTGACCATTCTTCTCTCCCCAATGAGTGCCGCGTTCTCAAGAATTTCTCCGGAAATTTCTGAGATTATTTTTCCCTGAGGAAACTCCCAGAGCCCATACTCATCGTCCCATGATACATCAACATTGCCGACCGACCTAACCTGCCCTGCATCAGGCACGTTTTCTGAGATGTGCGTGTATCTTTCTGTTTCGGAGACGGCTACCGGTGACGGTGCCCACCTTCTGCATGGCGGCGGGGATGGTGATGATCTTCCGGATGCAGTTGCCGAGGCGGTCGAGGTAGTAGTCCCAGTCCAGAATAGAGCGGATGTCGAAGTCTTCCATTGCCGGGTCCTTCCGCAAAAGAATGCCAAGAAAAGCGCGGAGGGTGGAGGGTTGGGGACAAACTTGGAAATCTTCGAGTATTTCCGTTGCCGGCCGGGCTCGGCTACCAGACAAGCAAACGCTGAGGGGGTAGGGGTAGGTGACCATCATCATCATCATCATCACAAACCTTATGCATACCTTGAGCCACTGCTTCTTCACGGGCTCTCCCAGACAAATGCTGAGGGTGGTGGCATCATCATCATCATCATTACCACAATACAATAATTAACAACCCTATCCCTTGAGTCATTTACAGAAGTAGTGACCCTTCATCGGGCTCTCCCAGACAAAGGGCTCGGTGGGGCCATCACCATCCTCAACAACACCATCACTAACACCACCACCACCACCACCAATCCCATGCATATGTATCTACCTTGAGCCACTTTCGGAGGTAGTGCTTCTTCACCGCCGGCTCGGCCGAGAAGATGGCCGTCGGCACCGCCCTGTCCGTCACCGGCGCGCCGTGCGGGCGGTTGCTGAGGATCATGCGGCAGTTCAGTCCCTTGTCCTTGACCATCTCGGCTCCCAGGAAGTCCGCCAGGCGTCGCGCGGTTGTCTGGCTCGTACCCTGCGGGGAGAGCAGAAACGAAAAAGCTGTTGTTGGGAGAGCGGGAAAGTTGATGAGGTTGTTGTTGTTGTTGTTGTTGTTTTCGCACTGAAATTCGTTCCGGTCTCCGCTCAGTACCATCGAACATCCGAATACCGCTCCAACCGACGAGGATGCCTTCTTCCGTAAGCAAAGGCCAACCGCCAAAAAAAGGGTACGCTTTTCCAGAAAAAATAAATAAATAAAGGACCAAGAAAAATCCTGCAAACCCGATCACAAGGCAAGCACACGCCCCCCCCCCCCCCCCCCCCCCCCTTTTTTCTTCTTGGGGGGGGCAAAAATCTCCCAA